TCATAGAATCGAGAAATTTTGTAAAGAAATTCGTATCAAATATTGTGAATAGTATTGATTGGGTGTTGTTACAATCATTTTTTCTGGCCTGCATCCAGTCCTTCTGTTGCAGTGTCCGTAATGTGAGCACACTGTGGCATCTGCCATAAACTGTATGCAGCCTATTATTTTGGTTGTAGACGTAGACTGTACCGTGCTGAACATGTCCTTTGTCTCAAATGCCCAAGTTCCCGCTTTACTTATAAATTTAGTTCAAGACCCTCTCCCATGAAATCGGGTGTCCATAACCATTCATTTTCTTGAAGTTTCAATTGTACAATCTCCGAAGAGGGCTAGGGCAGCCTTTAAATTCATGGGCGTAAACCTTGGGGGGTGGGGGCATGTAGCTTCCCATATTTTGAGGGTGGGAGTGGGTGTGCGACTCTCCCCTGCCTTTTGTGGGAGTAAAAAATTGAAGTCGATTGTAAGGAATTGTTCAGACTTTTAACGACTAAAATGCATGGAATAACTTGGACAACATTTTTAAAAGCATAAGTATGGCATTCTGAGTACATATTACATTTAGTAACGAACATCGATCTCTATATAGTGCCAACCCCCGCTTTTAAAGGTTTTGTGTCATCCTGCCCCTTTCCCCGTCCCCAGCCCAAATGTACCTTTACGGTGAAATGTGGTTTTGGACTGCTCGTTGGAACAATGAAATATTACATTTCAACAAAGCTTGTTCTCCAGCACAAAAGAAAACAAATGAAATCTTACTTTGTGGTGTGAACTTCCACATTCAGATGAGAGGTAGACTATGTTTAATACCTCCTTACATTCCCCAAGTGCCAAACAGAAGCTACCGGACTTGAAAGTTACATTTTAACTTTCATCAGTCGAAAATTATAAATATATATGTAATTTTCTAGCTCTGGTTACGTCAGCGCCTTGATGGTGGGAGCTAATTAATTATGCAGCCCGCAGGCCACATCGTGCCTTGCGCGGAAAAAGCCTCAACATCCACTTACAACAAATAGTCTCTCAGAGTCCACATTTCATTACTTTAGTTGGGTTATACTCCTTTATTATCCTTGTCCGTAAATTAGTAATTTTTTAAATACTGTTTCGTTGATAATCAATGCTGATTCCAGTGTATGCAATGGTTGAGGGGTAGCTACACTGAGCGTTTTTATGAATGGCGGAGTAATATGTTTAGCCACGGATTTGTGGCTACGCCTATGGCGTTGGGCGTTCTCGAACTTTCTGGAGCTCGGTCTTTATTGCCGCTGCGAACTGAGCAACGCCCAGGTAAGAAAGTTGTCCCCGAATTCTTTGCTCTCAGTACCTTTTCCAGGTTATTTACCCTCACTGGACTTGTATCATGTGACCACTGATCGCCAAAGAGCATATTAGTTAGTATTATACTTGGGGCTAATGGCATTTTAATTCATTTGGGAATGTTTTCTTCATCATAATTTGTGAGAATCATTCACAGGAGTAGTTGGGCTATAAACGATAACAGTACGTGTACATGTCACATTGCATTAACGCTGTACGTACTGTGGTTGGTGACGTACACGGTGTGCATTATAGCACTGCGCGTACGTGGGGCTGTAATGCTTTGCGTTGGCGGGGCGCTACGAACGTGAATAAACATTTAAGTAGGCTTTTGTACATTTTTAAAAACGCAGCGCACATTCCTGTGCTATTGCTCAAACTCAAGCCGTTCCACAACATATGATAGTGATAGATAGTAGTTTGTCTTTCATAGTTGTATGTACATGTACCAAGTTATGTTTTGGCCGCAGCTCAGGAGAAATAGCTGTAGGACTGAGCCTGCAAGCCTGATGACTGTAGAGCTAGATCGTTAATTGCTGTCACTGTCGGCTACTGTATTATACCATATCCATGACACCGGGGTAATTTACCAAAGTGCAAATATTGTAATTCGATTACATGTTTTGTCTGACCATTTTTATGACTTTATGAGCAATAATTAAACAACAGTTTAACTATTGTGATAGTATGTACAATATGTGTGAACAATATTTCTTTCATTGGAGTTATGTAATTATTTTGCAAATAGGGTTTATTTTGATCTGAAAAGATTCAAGAGCTGAGATGAGACAACTAAATTATCAATTAAAAAAAGATTGGATTGTCCATCTGGTGTCTGACTCACTTGTTCTTGGGGCCTCATCACCTAACACGAATGGACCTACCACCCAAAACACCAGGGGCGGCCTAGCCCGTCCAGGTTACATTGCTTGAAACGGAGAAAGAAAACAGAACTGCTACAAACAAAACACAAGAACTGTAGACGCTGGAAGCATTTCAGGTTACTAAGTGCCCTAATCTCCAAATAAAGTTTAAGTGCACGTGTCAAAGCGCACCGAGCCGGAAGTGTCGACCATCATCTCACGCCTACAAAAGGGCACGGGAGTCCTACAAGTAATTCTAAATTTACACTGACTACAAAAACATATGAAGCAAAATATGAGACGGAGAGAGCCCCCGTGCTTTGTGTTGGTCATTGCTTCCCTGGAATCTTAGGAATTCTTTACAGACGGGGGGGGATGTGTTAGGTAACAATAGTCTAGAGTGTGTATAGCGACTGGACATGTTGGGGGGTACCCTTCGGTCTCATTTCTTACTGGATATATACCAAAGATACTTGGTATCATAGTCTATTTAGCGTTGTTGCTATAATTTATGCTCACTAAAATGGAAAGCAAAGATTTTTATAAAAGTTCTAAAACTCTGATTAAATGTGGCCTTTATCTTATACAGAATTACCCATAAGCTTTATTATTTACGTTATATTTGAGATTAAGTAAAATAACTACAGAGACGTTTCTGTGAGAAGACATCTCCACGTCTTGCTCGATAAGAAGAGCATCTAGCTCCAGCATATAGAGCCGCGCAGACGTCAATTTTCTCCTCATTGAGTGGAAGATTTTGAAACAATGAGTAAGCCTATAATCTTAGCAGGTAATGGCAGGGTCCTTGACTCTAATGTGATAATAAAAAAACCCATTTATCTACCCCTAGCTTCAACTATCTGCTGGTCCTAGATTGCCAGCACTATACAGTGTGCTTTACATGCAAGTTTTGATCAGTTAAGATTCGGTTCGATAAATAAAAATTAATAATGTTCACGTTTTGAATTTGAGGTAGAATTTAATAAACTAGGGTTCTACCACAGAGTAAATGCTGGACACTACAGGATTGGCTAATATTAAATGGTCTGCGATGGCTGAGACATCCTCCTAGAAGTTCAATTCTAATTAAGACCATGCATGATACTATTTTGCAAGAGTTTTATAGCCATTTCTTTGTGAACTGTTTTTACTCGGTTTCATACTTCTCAGTCGCTAAAAGCCAAGTCATAGTTCTGGAGTTCTTTTTAAACTAAGGTAACTACTCTAGTATTTATATTTATACAGGTAAATTACCTAACTGGATTCATGCTCCTCCAACGCAGGCAAATTCTAACTGGAACATGTGGAAAGAAACCCCTTTCTTCATTTTAAATATACTAAACTTCTCATTTAAAACCAATCCTGGGTTTCATTGTGCTTCATGTGATTTCTGTTATACTAAAAACATCCTCAATTACATAATATAATTATTTTAGGGCTCTCTATTAGAGTTGCATGAGGACACAACAGACAACAAATATTTTGGGGGACCGAAAACTATACTATAAGTATGTAAACTTGTTTTTCAAATACACCGTCTGCGGCATTTTGTACACTGAGCTTTATGTTACATTATTTCGCAATCTGTTGCAATTCTAGGTTAGGCTTTCATCTATTGTAATGATAATGATTTGTTTATTAATGCTTATGTATAGGAAATCTACCCCCATCGCCAATTCCGCAAAACAGAGTCTTGATGAAGTAAATAAAAGTTTCCACTGAACGTTGTTGTTGTTTCTTTGGTGGGCGATTTGGCGAAATAAAATTGCAAATGTAAAAGTAATGTTAGGGATAAGACATTTTTTACACTAAAACATGTTATTTCCCAGACATCATTTTCAGTGACTGCGTTACAAATTGATTCAATTTTAAAACATTGAATGTGTACATTCTGTATTATAGCTTAAAATAAGTTTAGATTAAAACAAAATGTAACGACAAAGAAGAGAGACAATATTAGGTACTCTGAGTGAGTATAGCAGCAGCAGTTTAAGGGTGGTGTGCAAATCATCAGTATAAATGTTTGGACACAAAAGACTCTGTACCGAAGTATTTTGTCCGGTATGATGATATGGCCTTACTGAGGGATCACTTGTCATCGAATTCGGGACAAATCGCGTCAAGATTGACGTACTTGATACTCTTCATCACCAGATACGACTGGAAAAAAATGTAAAAGTGTTAATTTACATCTGGAAACCGAAAATGATCTCTTTACAGTGTATTTATGAACAATTATATCCCATTCCTAGAAAGCGATCTGTTGAGTTCACCCAAGAACGTGAATCAAGCATTGCGTTGTCACGTAACACCCCTACACGTTTTGACCATGGTGTGATGACCCATTCGAATGTCGCCTAACCCTTTTTGGTGGTGAGAATCAGAAATTTGGATTTTCATGTTAATTTTTTAAATTTTTCAACGGCAATAAGAGTTGAACTAGCTCTGAAATACAAAGCAGTAAAGTGACTTGAAATGTATCTTTTAATGTGATTCTGTTTTAAATATACAAGCATCAGAAATCAAGGCAGGATACCGATACTTTTCTTGTAATTTCACGCACATCGTTAGTAATTTTTTTAAAAATATATTTCATGAGACTGCACTTGTTCTTATCTTTTCAACATGAAAAAAGTTAATATTTTGTTGAAACAAAGAATACTTTCTCTCGTGAATATTTTATTCGTAATGTTTTTCTGTTCTTTCCTTGAAAAAATCCACTTTTAGATTTGCAAACGCGAATCAAGAAGCACATGCCAGGGAAACGAATTTGAATAAAACAATGTTATAGATTCTTAACCAGTTAAATCAAGTGTTGATCAAACCATTTCCAAGATTACAAACGAATTTGAATGAACGAAACAACATTTGAATCTGAATAAACTCATTCATTAAAAGGCTGGAAAGCGGAGACACTTGTAAAAATGATGGACTCCCTGTTCAAGAGAACCGTACACCTGAAGCCCGATAGTTGAACCGTTATGAGTAGCCAACAGTTGTGTCACTATAGTCAGTTACCGGGTAATTGCTGGAGTCTGGATACTGGCATACGCCCCAGAAAATGGTACATTCTGATCAAAATGCATTCATTTAGGATGTACAAAGGAAACATAGATAAATAGGTCATTTTGGATTAAATGGGTCATTCACAAGGGCATTTTTTATTTAAATAAACTCACATTTTCATCCGTATTCGTCGCCATTTCACTGAGGGTAGCAACCAGGTTAGTGAAGGTTGGTCTTTTCTCAGGATCCTCGTCCCAGCACTTGCGCATCAGGTCATAACTAGTAATAGCAAATAGAAGGAAGAAGTGGTAATTAAGACTGAGCTCTTACTTCGATCTACATTGAATGTACAGTGTGTCTCAACAAAGCACCCAATTTTACAGTACACTGTACACAGCCATTCAGCGAGTAAAGATGCATCCTGCGGATAAATGCTGGATGACTCCACTCATCAAAATGATGGTATTCTTCAGACAAAAAGCCTTTCGCAGTGAAAATGCGGCTGATCTTGCGCACTACAAGAACAGGATATCTTGTTCAGTAAGTGATGCTGCTTAACGATCCTTCTATTCAAATCACATACAAAACCCTAAAAAGCGATCTTGCTGGCTGACACCGATGTATTCGCAATATGACATCAGGCAAAGCCCAGCCTACACAAATCGCACCAGTGACCGATTTGCGTCCTTCTGTGCTGTTTTGTCGCCGTTACACCGTCTTGAACTATTTCTGTGACGTCACTCCTCACCCATTCTTTGCAGGAATCTACCGTCCTGGTCCATTCTCTATGACATCACCTGCCTGCATACCTGCCATCTAAGCACCCCACCACCCTGTTAAAACCATGGGAGTTGTGTCGTGAGTTGAAAGCTACCAACCACTCGCAATCTATAGTAAACTAGATGATGTACCGGCTTGTCTCATCAAAGAATTCGCTTAATAAATGGACTGAGTTTGCCCCTTACTACAGTCATTATGTCAAAATTGTCCCCAACCACAATTGAAAACATCCGACCCATCTGCTTAACTGACCATTTCGTAAAGGTCGCTGAAGGTTTCATTGCCAAATGGACCCTAGCTGATATGGAACCATCCTTTGACATACATCAATTTGGCAATCGGCGAGGTATGTCGACATCCCATTGCCTAGTCAGTCTTTTCCACAAAATATACATCAACTCCGACAAAAACCGAAGTCGTCATCAACCATTGTCCTGATCGGCTTGGCCAAAGCATTCCGTCACTTTAACCATACGCTCGCACTAAAGACTCTTCTCTCAATGAATGTTCGCCAGTGTGTTGTACAATTGGTCCCGATTTCCTTAGCAACAGACAACGAGTCCATTACACACTGAATGCAATTAACACCCAAGGAACAAAGCTTGGTCAGGTGAGCTTCCTGTAGTCATGATACATGATGCCTGCAAGAACCTTATTCGACGCCATTCCCCTGCCATGTGTCAAGTATGTGGACGATATCTCACACTGTACGGTGCCCGACAACACGGACAGCTATCCCCTGTGCAGGAAGCCTTCGAAGACCTCTGTGATTGGCCTCGTTGCTGACAAACTAAACCTGAATCCAAAGAAATGTCAGACCATGGAGTTTTGCCTGGTGCAAAATCCACCACCTGCTCTACCTGCCTATTTTGAAATACGCAGCTCCCATGTGGAACAGAGGTATTACCAAGAAACAATCATCTGAGCTAGAATTCGTGCAGAAACGAGATCCATTTTTGTCATCATTTTCACAAGCTACAAACCCTCTTAAAGAGTACAAAATGCCTGGAATCCATTCGTATTTATGATGTACAGCTGTTAAAGTGCATTAGACAACCAGAGAATAATGGCCGGAGGAAAACATTGTCCATGGCGGGCCTCGACATTGGCGTTTTTCCGATCAGTGCATGGGACCATGGTTCAGGCAAGTACAAATATGAGGACAAATTGCCCAATGGACAGGTACTTTTTTCTTAAAATAAAAGTGTCAATTTTTTGTGTCCAACAATAGCAGTCACAAAAGCTTATAAAAGTGGTAAAAAGTATACAGTTACAACGATCTTTTGCATCGTTGCGTACATGTGTACAAACTTGCGTGTTTTGATGCACGCTGTGCATTTAGCAGGGCACCTTTGCACGCAAGGGAAAATGCGTACATAAAATAAACTGTAAAATACACTTGTGTCTGCATACCAAAACGCATAGTTCGCACGTATGTGTATTCTGGCGAGGATACACTGCATTTACTTGCTCCTCTTGAGGTGAGGTCCGGTGGAGGAGAACGTTATGCTTTGAGGTACTTGATTTGACAATTAATGGTTCGCTGAGCAGTGGGATGCCTTCGAGGGTGAGGTCACACTTTGTGCAAGAGAGTCTTGATGTCCAAGTGGAACATTTATGGAAGATGGATATAGGTGACACCCTGTCTTGTGATTCTCCTTCACTTTCCATCAACGGCAAGAAGGCCATGGAGATCTGGGAAGATTCGGTGCAGATTGTTCGTGGCCATTATCACTCGCCATACCATTAAAGAAAGATGGCCCTCATTTGCTTGACAATAGGGGCTTAGCAGAGAAGAGGCTTGCACTTCTTGGAAAGCACTTCAGTAAGGATCGCAATCTGCCTGACGGGTACTCTGTAGGGATGAAAAACCTGTTCATCTCTTGAAGTTGCAGAGAGTGAATTCGATGGCTCTTCTGGAAAGACCTGGTATCTTCCTAACCATGACGTTTTCAAGCAAAACAAACGCGAAAAGCTGCTAGTGGTATTTGATTGTGCGGCGAAATGTCTGGGCAGATATCTTAATGACGTTGTGCTACAGGGGCCAGACTAGACAAATAAGCTGATTGGTATCCTGCTACGCTTTCGTGAAGGTCAAGTCGCCTTATAGAACAGATGTTCCATCAGGTAGGGGTGGCACGGGAACACAGAGATGTCCTGAGGTTTGTTTGTTGGCACAATGGCGACATGAGGGAGCATGCAGGAGTCTTCTGGATGAGAGTATTGTTTTTTGGCGGTGTATGGAGTCCGAGCTGTGCTAACTATGCCTTGTTGCGAGCTGCAGATGACTTTGACGAAAGGTTTAATCCTGCTGTTGTGGATACCGTGAGGAAGAAGTTTTATGTGGACAACTTCTTGAAATCTGTCAGCTCAGAAGAAGATGAAATCAAGCTGTCAGTGCCGGCTATGCCAGAGAGGTTGAATCTCCTTGATAGTGATCGAGAAGTAAAGAGGGAAATAGTCCCACGGGTTGTGAGGGCTCATGAAAAGGTTGATGTTTTTGATAGGTTCATCAACAGATACCCCTGCTGTTTACCACTCCGTAAAGCTGTAGCATGGATTTTCGCTTTATGAGGTGGCTTGGCGATTTCAGGCCAAACGAGCCGTCGAGGCTGACAGTTGAGGATTTCAGCAGGCTCTTGTAAAGTTCGTCCAGAGGAGAAGCTTTCATCAGGAGATCCGGGATCTGCAGGGATGTCAAACAGTTAGAAAACAGAGTCCGGTTTACAGTCTGCGACCTTACCTTGATGGTAGTGGAGTGCTGAGACTTGGCGGCAGACTACGGCATTCACCCATCGAAGAGTACCAGAAATTCCCAGCTGTTCTATGAAAGAACCATCTCTTGTAGTGAGGCAGGTGTATGAGTCATTACCTGGTCATGGTGGAAAGGAACATGTTCTATTTCTTCTGAGGAAGAAGTACTGGATTCCTCAACCACGTCCTTTTTCAAGTCGAGTGCTCAAAGGATGTCTGTTGTGCAGAAGGTTGCATGGGTGGCCAGAGCTCCGGCAGATGGCTGACCTTCCAGAAGGAAAGGTAACCCCCTGGCAACCATCCTTTCTCCTCCGTTGGACTAGAATGTTTTGGCCCATTCCTTGTCATGCGTGGGCGGAGCAGGGAGAAGAGGTATAGCTGCCTGTTTACCTGCATGGCGAAAGGGCGAATAATCTGGAAATGTTGCATTCGATGGAAGCTGATTCTTTTCTTGAAGTTTGCTGCTAAGCAGAGCATGCCCGAAAGCCTCTACTCTGACAATGGCACAAACTTTATCAGAGGTGAGAAGGAGATTGGTAATGCCATCCTGAGATTGCGCAAAGATGGCAAGGTCAACGGAGTTCTTCTTTACAAGCAGATAGATTGGCATTTCAATCCGTTCACTGCGTCCAACATGGGTGGGTCATGGGAGCGTCAAATCTTAACGATGAGGAGGGTGTTGGCATCGCTTCTCCAGGGTACGGTTCTTGACGATGAGAGGCTCAGTATGCTCTTCTGTGAAGTTGAGTCTATTGTGAATGACAGGTCCATAACTCCTGTTTCCGATGATCCAAATGAGCTTGGGGCCTTAACACCAAGTCATTTGTTGAACTTTCGACCAGGACACCCAGTGCCCGTCAGGGGGTTGAATGAGTCTGAACGCTTCAGAAGGCGCTGGAAATATGTTTAGCTACTCGCAGAGAGGTTCTGGAGGGCATGGATATCAGAATATCTCCCTAACCTGCAGCGCAGACAGCGATGGGTGGATGAGAAGCCGAATCTCGGACTGGGCGACCTCGTGCTGGTACTAGATAACCAAGCTCCAAGGAACCAGTAGCCTTTGGCCAGGATAACCAGGTGTTGAAATCCAAACAGCCTCAGGCACCTACAACAGACCTGTCACCAATTTAAGTCTCTTGGAACGTGCAAATAACTAAATGTGTAACTTCCAGGTTAAGGTTCATTGTAACATACCTTTTCACATTCTTAACTTCAGTCACGTTATGATTAACCAGTAATTTCAAGTGTTAGATTGGTGTTAAATTCAGCAACTTTCTTGGATATTATTCACATTGTATAATTTTGTAAATGTTCTTTTGTACATTTAAGGAGCCGGAATGTAACGTATCCGAGAGTTGAAAGGTCAAAGGTGAAAAACGTGTTCTAGAATGTACGCACACTGCCACCGCTCACTGTACTGTATTGTGTACAATGTATACATTCCTGGGTGTGCAGAGGTTGGATTGACCAGATAAACTGCTAGGAGAAAACTGCCGATGATAATACCCAGTTTGGGTTATTGGTCTGCTTTGTAGCAGTAGATGTACAGTACCTTGGCTGTAGCTGTCATGGAACGTACCTAGAATCCGGCAGAGTCGTAAGCGCTTTAAAAGTTTTTGTGAAACTTTGTAGAGACATCAAGGTCCATTGTAGTAGTTCAGTGATGTGTAAATTCCACATGCAGGATCATGTAGGCATATTCAACATGGTGTTTGAGGGGCAATTCAGGGTATAGCAGCTATAGTTTTAATGCTAGTCTGGATCTGCTGTATCAGCACGTTTAGGAAATCAATGATTATTTCATTGTGCATAACATGTACCTGTACTTTGTGAAATTAATTTATATTAATTTCTCAATCGATAAGAAATATTTTGTTTATTTATTTTTTTAGATTAAACCTTGTCAACTTGCCATAACATTCGGCACTTGATGTAGTCCTTTGTGTAGTACTTGCTCTGGTGCTTAGTGAATCTACTTGATAGATTACCCTGCGCTCATGCACGCAGCCTCGGATTTGAGTACTGGCGTACTTAGCCGCATATTTGCCTGCCTGTACCTTGTGCTAAATGTTTGGAGTAAATGACCAGAGTGACTTGTCCCGGGTAGCAGTGAAGCAGAAAATGTAACACCCTGTGGGGAACCTAAGAACCTAAAAAAGCAAAGAGTCTACCTGTGATCGTCACAGTTGCTTGGCTTAGGCATGCGGTAACCTTTCTTCAGCTTTGCTGGTAAAGATTCGCTACTAATGGTCGGATATGGGGTCGCTCCTTTAAAAAGGAAAATATGTGTAAAGAAGAGCTTGGCAAGATTATTTACTTACAGAGTGTTCGAAATGGAAAATGTGACCACTCTAGCCATCAGGCCCTGTATTCATTTTTAATATTTTTGTACGTATTTCCCTTTTTTGAAATGTAAAACTATTTTGCAATTTTTCTCAGAATATAATTATGATGGTTCATTTTCCCTCCACATATTATTAGTAATACATCCCTTCTCGTTTTCAGAAATAATCGTGATATGAGAGAAACTTACCGACTGTTGCTATTTCCCAAAGGAGAATTCCAAAAGACCACCTATCATTTCGAAAAAATGGAAATCGTTAGAATATTATATTTACAAGCATTGAACGGCAGAACGAGGACAATAAATTACCAACAGTAACAGCCAATGGTCGTATGTTATGTTAACTTTCTCTGAATTTGTTTTTCGTTGTAAAACGTACAAAATTGACTTGACCCTATTCGACCCAGTTAAAGCGAAACAACTTACACATCACTTTGCGTAGTGTATATATTGTGTCTTACAGACTCAATTGCCAACCAGCGCAGTGGAACCCGTTTCTGTAGTAAAGAAAACGGTGTAGATTCAAAATAATGTCATAACTTAAAATTAAGTAACCGTGGTCTCCGCACATGCACATATCCAGCATCTATTAAGCCATGGGACTGGTGCATTTCAGGGTTACATTCCTTGCAGATTAAAATTTTCTATTCCGTCTCAAGACGAGCACAAAATTATCAAAATGAAAAGTGACAAAGATTCGGTTACAATTGCTCATCCCTTTCCAAATGACCAACTTTATATGATGGACCTGTGGTTTTAAGTCCAGTTTTTGCACCCTGCTTGTGGCCACTGGTCTGCGGCGGAAATACTGCTTTTTCGTTTTTCTTGTCAATTTAAACGTATGCAGCCAATACGGCTGAGGCATTCGGCCCACCTATACTTTAAACCTGTAAAGCCAGAGTTAATCTTGGAATCAACCAGAGACAATCCAAGGATGCCTCAATGTAAAATTTATTTGTTTGACAATTCCTGCTGCTTCTTTTATGGCTGTCAATAACTTTTATGTAAATTAGTGATAAGTCAAAATGTAGTTTGCCACTGTGCTTAAGTTTGTCTTACGTATTCCCATCAGGAAACCTCGATTCAAGCTATTAGACTGGCACTGTGTCCGCGAAACAAGATTATTTCGAGTAATGAAACGGACAGTTCACAACAGGGGGAACAGCAACTTTTGTTAGGGTTGACAGCTCGAAGGGTTAAATTAAGGTATAAATAGTCGGTTTTATATTGACTGAAATTAATACCGACGACATCTGCACGTAGACATCTTCCCCTCTGGATAAGCCAAAATCCGAAACTTTAGCAACCAAATCTTCTCCAACCAGAATATTCCTGGCTGCCAAATCTCGGTGAATCACCTGTGGAACAGAACGGTAAATTACGAGCACCCGTTTGGTAGTGATTGCAACTTGTACAGTGGGATTTGTTATGGAGATACGACTCCTGGCATTCAAGTCAAGGCATGTCACCTTAAGCCTACCTCAAAACTAACACTGCATGACCTTACATTAACTTATGAATAATAGGTGGCTAGAAAAACAACAAAAACGGAAACCCTTAGAGCAGTGAAGCGGTTGTAGAATTTTGTCGTTAGATGAGATGTTCAGAATTTCAGCAATTTCCTGGGAGGATACTCCATGGCTTTTATGTAGGATTTTTTTGTTTTGATTTAATTTTTCTTTCTTTTCTTCTTTTTTATTTAGATTTTTGTTTTAAAGAAGGGGTTAGTGATGCTTTCGTAGCCTTGTAATTGGAGTCACTATATGTACGTACTCTTGCTTTGGCAAGATGCTCCATTCCTTTGGCTATATCTAGAGCGAATTTGACTAGCTGTTCCGCAGACAAGACATCCTCATCTGTGTCTGACTGTGAGCGAGCCGTCCGTAGGTAGCTACGTAGATCACCATGCATAAGGTACTCCAACGCAACATACAACACACCTTGTAACATATTATCATAGAGTAACCAGAGTTCAGAAAAGCTAAAGTGAAATACATAATTCAAAAGTTTCCCCGCTCCATCATGGTCTGAACGAAAAAAGGTGAACAATTTTAATGTATGTTCGTATCCAGTCTAAGACAAATGCTGAGTTGTTGAAACAAAGCTGTCAAAACAAGGCAGAAGTTTTACTTTATTCTGCCATAATCCTTTATCGCGATTGCAAACGAATGTCAATGAAAATCAATGGTTATTTCTACAGATAAAAGTTGAATTCTTTTAAAGTGAGCACAGGTTCATTCTGGTCAATTATACTAAGTTTCACCGAGATGCCTATTTCCCGTTCATGTTATGAGGTCGTTGTGTGGTCACAATGGCGCCAATTCTATAACTAGAATTCCTCCTAGGTGGAAAATGTTTCTGAAACATTTAATTGAATGAGAAGCACTTACATAATATCATACTCTTACGTTTAAATGTGAAAAATCAGTAATTTTCTCATTCGGTCTAATAATTTCACTGGTAAAAGGGGTCATACGTGATTGACGTTTCAAAAGATCTCATCTGCCGGAGACCTTTACTCCTTTATGTTGTGGGTTTTATTTAGATACAGGTCAGGTCCAAGTCATTGATAGATTATTACAAACAAAAATGCACCTTGATGTTGGCAAGCTCCCAGTAGCCAGACAATATTGGAGTGGTAGCCGATAGAGGACATGGTCTTGAACTCATGCAGAAAATCGTCTTTCTCAGCACTTGATGCTTGCTCTATGGATAAGTAAACAAAACGTCGACGAAAATTGAACATTTATTAAATGAATTAAAAGACGAGGAAAATAGTCGTGAAACTTAAGTCTGTTTTAATCTAAATTTGTAATTTCACTCCAGCTCTCTTTACACGTTATCCAAGTTGCCATACCTACATCATCGCAGAGGAGATACTGCAGGCTTGGGTAAAAAAGGCTGCTTCCTTTTATTCTTTTTCTTTTCTCCAAGCCACTGAAAAGCCCACAGTTGACAACATTTGGATATTTCTAGTTTTCTAGAACACACATTTACTACCGATGCGTTTTCCACAAAGTTACTGACTGTCGTCGTTTATTTTGTTTTAGTTTCAGCACTTACCTTTGAGCATCTTGATAGCCGCACGGGTCACCCTGCCAGAAATCTTCACTGCACCTGATCTGACTTCACCAAAGTTTCCCCGTCCTAGCACCTCGTTATCCAGTAACAGGTCACTCCAAAGAATCTCCCACTTTAAGGCCCATCCCGGAAGCAAAGTACCTTTTGAAGCTGACTCTCGTTGCTTGATTTTACTTTCGTAAGATGCAACTGAAGCCTGCGCGATCCGTTCCTCATATGATGATACAAGCTATAACAGTGAATTTTATTGGGAGAAAACATGAATTAGAGTTTTGGAAGAATTTAAAATCGCCTGTCTGAGAGTTGATGAAAGAGCAACTCAACGACATGTATTCAAACTGTAATGCTCTTGACGCGACGTTAAATCATCAGCATACGACACTTCACGTCCAACAGGACTGCATTTTCACTACGTTAATACTCCTTATTTAAATGCCAAGAGCTAGCAGTGGAACCTCTTTCAAACGCAGATGCAAGGGGATTATAAATTATTTCAAATTTAATATGATCTTAACAGGTGGGCAATACAATAGTATATCCTGGTGATCTGCCTTGAAGGAAATTACGAATTGCCCTAGTTTCCTGCTATTTTCTGATAGCCGAAGTGAACTCTTTCGAAACTATCAATTCACTTGCCACAACTGAAATGCTAAACCTGACTTCTGTCTAAACAAAATAATGCGGTAAAAACGCAAGAAACAGATGGTAATTCTTGGCAATTTTTTGACAATCAACATCTTTTGTGCTCAATAAACTAATCTGAAACTCTGTGTAGTCTCTCAAAAGACCCACCATTGCTACGGTCGACTCCACAGCAGCCGTATCCTGTATAGAGTTAAGGGTCAAATTTGCCTGGCCAAGATTTCCCTTGGATCTCATCACAGTATAGACAGCCAGTGCAATTACCACTGTGAGGAGCAATCCAGCAAAGACGCAGGACACTACAACGGCTACGTTTGTGTCGGGGTCTCTTTTCTTGTTATTTTCTATTACATAAAACGACCAGAAATGAGAGTGAGAGCAATGGTTATAGCCTTAAAATACAACATCGTCCCGAATGTCGCATTTAAAAGAAGGAACAGTAACACCTCTCCCGTTTGTTTTGTTTATTTGGATGAATTTTCTCAGGCTACTCATTTCCTCATAGAAACATGGAATCATAATAACATTAACAACGAACTTTTTTTCGTAAGTAGTCGTGTTTATACTGTGCTTTACCTTTGGAGGAAAGGAATGGATTTTCTGATTTTTGGTTCAGATTCTTGCAGTGAGCCTTAATGTTCAAGGAAAATGCTTTTCCCACTGTACCTGTGTTTGCTGCTATGCTTTGGAGAACGAGAGGACACCATTGCAAGAAGGTCATCGCAACTTCACCCCGGAAATAGCCAAATGGAAGAGCAAAAAAAATAACCAATAATCACAGACCTTTGCAATTTCCACTTGTCTTGTCCAAAGTATAGCCATCTTTGCAAGTGCACTCGAAACCTTGGACTGTATCCACACAGTGAGCGTTCTCCTCACAATTATTAGTCGAAGTGTCATCGCATTCGTTAGTATCTGAAACGCGTCGAAGACAAAAAATGTATGAGTGAAATATAAATGGTCGTGGTCTTTTATCGAAAAGGGTGGGCCGGTTCTTTTTACAGTGTATAAAAAATGCCCAATGCATAACATTTGCCGTACAGAATCCAGGTGAAGGGGAAATTGCCCTATCTAGGCATGTTGACGTTGTCAAATTTTCTAGGAATTCTATCCTATACGTCACTTCGTGGTGAAACATAGGAACTGAAAGCTACACCGTTTTAAAAGCTGTACTGCTATCTTTCATGGTGGTGTAAACACATTCTTTTAAGGATAAAAATGCGGACACTCATTTCGGGCATTTCCATTTTGTCGGGTCCCAGACCTAAGACCAGTATACGCCACTTTACGAAACAGATTTGCTCTAGCTTAGTTTTCGACGTTTGAGAACATTCTCAAAACCTTTAAGCAAACAACCCTTAACAGTTCCTTTCTTGGTAATTAACAACTTCATAATATTGCAGAATGAGTGAATTACAACAGAAACAGAAACAAAATGAAATATAAAACAGATACCTTATCATGAGTACAACTATAACACATTGCACACTAAAGTTGAAATTTTGGGGTGGAAACGAGCAGCTGCGAACTATTTTGCGTTAAGGTTACAAGTAATTAGAATATTGTTATAATAATATCTCCCCAAATTGTGCCAGTCCTGTTAATTATATGTATCCACTTTGGCGTCATGTATACAACTAAGCAAGAAACGAAATTGCAAGCATTTTACCGATAATTAGACTCAAGGTTTGAGAGATCAGTTCTTTTCCATCAAAGAACTGACATTTGTACTCTCCTTCAGATGACTTGTCCATGGGGCCGATAGTCAGGTTACACCGCTTCTCAGGAATATCGGGTCCCGCTGTAGTTCCAATGAAATCTACACTTGAAAAATGACACAAACCCTGGATGTCGTTCTGGAAAAGCCATTTTAGTGTAATCGTCTGCTGGTCCACTTTACCGACCACTTTGCAGGCCAAAGTCACGTTGGCACCAGGGTTAGCTACCACTTCATGTCCGGGCTCAACTTGAATCTCGAGAAGAGTTGAAGCTACCACAAACCCTGCATTTAATTAGAGACCCAGGTTTAGGTGCTTCAACTTTTTTTCTTACTTCAGTATTTTCCACTGATAACCATAAGGATAAAGCAGGCATGGAATGCTTCCCGGGGTGTGGGTAACGTATTCACCAGTGTTAGAAATTAACATAGTATTTAATGGTAAAATGATATTTTCAATCTTTGTTTGTACTAAGTAGATAGTGTAGATAGATTATTTACATAAAATTCAGACCTAAATATGACCACGCTGGGCATATTTTACTCGGATACTAATATGTTTGACTCTTAATGTAGCAAACCCTTCGTCTAACATACACAGGAACCATAACAATGCTTCCTATGATTATACCTGCATTAACTTTCAGCTTTTGACAATTGCCTTTTCTTGGGAAAGCAAACAAATCACGAAAAAGGCAAAAATGAACCCCAAACTTACTTGTCGCATGCTGCAAAATCAACGTGATTGTAGCAATGAAGAATGCCGCCATTTCGCTACCAATGCCCCTTTACAACTGTAGGTCTTTACTTCCCTCAGTCACATGTACATGCTACCATTCTCAACAAACAGAAAGTGATATTGAAACGGACGTTTCCTTGCCGTTGTACCTTGTTTTTTAATTAAATATACGCACTGCCATTTTCCATTCTCGTAATGTATTTCCTTGTTTTTATTTGAACAATTACATGTATTATGTATATTGTACTTACCGGGCCCTCCAAAGTTTTTAACTTTTTCATGGTCGTACAAAACTTTTGGATTTTCAGTATGCGGTTCTGTGATTTCAGAGTTTGCCTAGTATGACGCGGTATCCAATTTTACCCACCTAAGTTTGTCCTGGTACCGGGGAGGTCACGTTGTTGCTAACCGTATGCCGAGTGTGGACGAGCATGGAAAAAACAGTAGCTCATGTGTCCTTGAATTGCCTCTTAAAGCTGAAGCCCCTTTGTTAAGCTGCAACACTACAACCCACAACATGGTGTCAGACGCTGTGGATTTTTCTTTGATGCGGGTTGGAGCTCTCCCTTAGTGAAATTCCAACGGATGAACTTGCCACGTCAGCGACGCCGTCGAACCACGCAGTTGCCTGTGTGTGTGTACATGTACGCGATGAACGGAGTGGACATGTCATGACATGTACTGTGAATTTGAACAGACTCTGAACTGTATGGACGGCATCGGCATAGGCCTAATCAGTGTGTGTTTGCATTCAGACCACAGTGGATAGTAGTAAGAAGTGCTGGCTACATGTGTGTACATGTATTAAGAGCCATGATTAGATTCTTCTATAATTTTGTGTAGCAACACAGTATTCAGTACAGCTAGACTCGAGTTTGTTTTAAGCAGTTGCACTTAAGTCCGAAGTTTGTGGTGTTCATTGTATCTATTGTATGCTGGGACACAACGCTAGGAGTATGCCAAACCCATCCGAAGACACACATATGAGTCGCATTCCTCTCCCTAAGCCTTTGCAGTTGACAGGAAATCTGAAGAAAAATTGGGCGAAATTTCGTCTCGTCTGGGATAGCTATGAGGTCATAACTAACCTTGATAAAAGCCCAGACTGGGTAAGAATTGCCCACTTTATTACGGCCATAGGCCCTGAAGCCTTGGATATACATAATGGATTGCCATTTAAGAGTGAAGATGACAAGAAGTCGTTGAAAGTGATCTTGTATTTGTGGGAGAAATATTGTGTTGGTCAAACAAATGTAACTTACGAGCGGTACAAATTTAATAACTGCTCACAGCAAGGGGAAACATTTGACAACTTCTATGTTAAGCTACGCACGCCAGCGGCTACATGCGATTTTGGTGAATTAGCAGATGATCTTATTCGTGACCGCATTGTTTGCGGAATCGCGGATAACGCTACAAAAAAAACCGGCCTTTCCAGGAGCTGACACTGCCAAAGTGTCTAGACCTGTGTCGAGCCAGTGAAGCCTCCAAAGTCCATCTGAATGCTATGTCAAATGATTACAATGCTGTTGACACTGCAGTGCATGCCTTATGTGCGAAGAAAGGGAAAACACAGAATTACCATATTGAGTGTCTGTATTGTGGTGGTAAGCACAAATTGGGTAGAGCAAATTGCCCAGTCTATGGAAAGGAGTATAAAACATATGGTAAAGCAAGCCACTTTGCTCAGAAATGCAACCAAGGTGCACCACGTGGTACTAGACATGTTAAAACAAAGAAAAAGGGAAAAGTTCATACTGTTGAGGATACTGAATCCTCTGAAGAAGAGTGCATTTGTAACTAAGCCTGTGCACGTGCAAATTGACTCTGGGGCCACATGTACTGTGATGCCCGCCCGTTTCTTGCCGCAAGATACTGTTGTAGAGAAAGCAAATCACAAGTTATGCATGCACAATAAAGAAACTATGCCAGTTGAAGGAATGTGCAAGCTGCACTTGAGGAACCCAAAGAATAGGAAGAAATACTTGGTACACTTTGTTGTTGGTCAAGGTCAGGTTCAGTATACACTACTTGGGGCTAAAACTGCTCAACAGATGCGACTAATCAAAGTAGTGTATGATAATATTGCTGTGGTCGAGCAGACACACGCTGAACGTTCCGTGTTGGATAACAAGCGAATGGGACTGAGTAAACGTGAGATACTACAGGAATACACGGATGTATTTGATGGCCTTGGCCGCATGCCAGGCCAAGTACATCTGACTGTCGACCAAGATGCGAAACCTGTGATAATGCCTCCACGGCGTGTGCCAATCGCGATCAAGCCAAAGCTGAAGGCGGAGCTCCAAAGACTGGAGGAAGGCAATGTGATCGAAAAGGTCACAGGCCCGACAGATTGGGTATCAAGCATGGTCACTGTGGTCAAGCCCAGTGGTAAGCTGCGATTATGCATTGACCCGCAACATCTCAACCTCGCATTAAAGCGTGAACAATATCCTCTCCCAGTAATAAAGGATGTGCTTCCACAACTTGCGACGGCCAAAGTCTTCAGTAAAGCTGATCTGAAGGAAGGATTTCTCCAGTGCGAACTGGATGACAAATCGGCATGTCTCACTACATTTCAGACACCACGGGGGAGATACCAGTGGCGCCGTTTGCCATTTGGTCTGTCTCCATCGCCCGAATTGTTCCAGATGAAACTGGACCAGTGCCATGAAGGCTTAAGCGGCATACATGTCATAGCAGATGACATCCTCATAACAGGACAAGGAGAGACACTGGAAGAGGCCATTCGCGACCATGATCAGAACATGAGGAATTTCCTCTCCCGATGCAAGGAAAGGAACATCAGACTCAATAAGGACAAGCTTGAGTTCAAAAGTGACGAGGTCACTTTCATTGGTCATCGTTTGACCAATGGAGTTGAGCCTGATCCGAACAAAGTTGAAGCAGTTTGCAACATGGAAGCTCCTACATATGTAGAGGAAATCCAACGCTTTGTCGTCATGGTGAAATATCTGGCAAAGTTTCTGCCTGACTTGTCAGAGATGAGCGAACCACTGCGACGTTTGACACATAAGGATGTCGAATGGACATGGACAAAGGAACAGACGGCATTAAACAGTGCGTCATGTCTGCTCCAGTTCTTAGGTACTTTTATCCTGCTGTCGAGGCTGAAGGACAAGGCGATGCATCTGACAAAGGCCTCGGATTTGTATTACTGCAAGAAGGTCAACCAGTCACATACTCAAGTAGAGCCCTCACGCCTGCGGAAACGAGATATTTGCAGATAGAGAAGGAACTGTTGACCCAAGTGTTTGGTTTGGAGCGGAACCACCAGTACACATACGGACGGAGAGTGGTGCTGTGGACAGACCATAAGCCTCTGGTGTCCATAAGCCGTAAACCACTTTCAATAGCGCCCAAGCGACTACAGCGTTTGCTCATCCGACTGAAACAGTACGATGTGGACATACGCTATAAGCAAGGCAAGGAAATGTATCTCACTAATACATTGTCTCGTGCGTATCTAAAGAACACTGAACGTTCACCAGTAGAGGCAAAGACAGAAAGCATCCACATGATGGACGATCTGTCCATCTCGACAAAAACCCAGGAACTGATCGTGCTTGCCACAGAAGAAGACACGAGCCTTCAAACCACCAAAGGCTTCATCGCAACAGGCTGGCCCGACAGCAAAGGCCAGCTGCCAGCCGAGGCACGCCCCTTCTTCAACATCCACGATGAACTGACATACCAAGATGGAGTTATATTCCGCGGTACACGCTGTGTCATCCCAAAGGCAGCAAGACCACGAGTGCGCGAGCGTCTACACAGCGCATATACAGGAGTACAAGGCACACTAAGAAGAGCGCGAGATCTTGTCTATTGGCCGGGAATGACTCATAACTTAACAGACTATATCTCAGCCTGTGAAACTTTCAACAAATACCAACCACAGTAGCAGAGCGAACCCCTGATCTCACATAAACCTCCAGATCGACCCTGGCAGAAGATTAGCATAGACTTATGCACTGTTGACAACATGGACTACCTGTGCAGTGTTGACTACTTCTCTGATTATTTCGAAGTTGACAGTCTGCCCCACAGCAAAGACACAAAGGCTATCGTTAAAAGACTGAAACGCCACTTTGTTGCACATGGCATACCGGACACAGTATACTCCGATAATGGACCACCATTCATCTCGAAGGAGTTCGCGGACTTTACCAATGAGTACGAGTTCACCCATGTCACCAGCTTTCCACAGTATCCACAGAGTAATGGCAAAGTTGAGAGCACGGTGAAAATTGCAAAGAGGCTCATTCGCAAAACCAAGGATAGTCATGGGGATATTCACCTCGCCCTGTTAGCCTGGAGGAACACTCCAACAGAAGGCTTAAACATCTCCCTGCTCATCGTTTCTATGGACGCCGTACTAAGACCAATCTGCCTACAAAAGCACAACTGCTGGTACCATCACAACAACCCCAACAGGCCATCCTTGCCCAAAGGCGCATCAAGCAGGCAAAGCAGAAACGGTATTTCGACAAACATGCCAAAGCCCTACTCCATCTCCAGCCTGGAGACACAGTACGCATACTTCCAAAAGCCAATTCCAAACTTTGGGAAAAAGCACAAGTACAGGAGCAAGTCAATATGCGTTCATACAAAATGATCGCAGAGGATGGTCAAGAATTTCGCCGTAATCGGAAGCACCTCAGACGCACCACAGAAAGATAAGTCCCACCCTGCGAGCCGCAGTTTCCATCAGAAGGCCCAGCTTCAGACAATCAGAGCAGCCGGGCTGACCAAACAAACACACGCACGCAGCAACAAAATCCACGACGCAGCACACGTGAACGGAAACCACCAAGCTATTTAATAGACTATGTCACATGATCTTTGGACAAGGAGCACCATCAGGAACGGACTTTATGGACTTTTGGAGTTTATCTAACTACATACCTGTATTGCAAGTTGAAGTATAAAAAATAAAATGGAGAAAAACAAATTAAGGCACACCTCACCATGTAAAAAGGGTATTTTGGAAAACAGGCTAGTGCCTTAGGAGCATTTAAGAGGGTCTGTTGTATTAGTTTAAGTAGTTAAAACATCGGTCCTGTATAAGTAATGTAAGTCCTGATAAGTCGTTATTTTTGTCACGGTTACGTGGGGGTGTCACCACCCTGACGTAGTGGGTCCGCTCAACTTTTAAATTGAGGACAGGAAACTGCTAAGTGATCACAGATTAATCAAAGAATAATATATGTATTCAGTACAACATGATGTTCCGTGATTGCG